GTACTTATTTGTCCATGCAAATGAGGCAACAGCAGACTTTATCAGCGTTAAGGGTGACACGGGGGCTCGAATACTAACAGATGCAATGATTTACGTAATATTATCAAATCTATAAAATTAAAACGTGAAATTTATACATAAGTAACCGCCTAACCCAAAGGCTCTGCCACAGAGGCAATTACCCTCCGCGCTAAGATTAAAGGCTGGCAATAAATGACCGTAGGAGAGCGCTCAAATTACCTCTCCTTCGTTCGCCGAAATCTGTCACTAACTGTTAGAAGTTGAAATGAAGAAGTGAGAGCCTCCTCACCTCGGCCCCGTAATTACATCGTGTATGATTAATTAATCTGCTGCGTTGCAATTGAAACACGGTGTTTAATTGAGATAACGTTGTAGGTTGCGTAGGTAATCATGGCTGGTTACGTCACGGGAGTCCAGTCGTCTGCCGGCGCAGCGCGTGTGCGTGTAATGATGAGATTATTGAGAGAGAGAGAGAGAGAGAGAGAGAGAGAGAGAGAGTGAGTTTGGAAGGCATCTTGTTACTCCTTGCACAATGAATTGAGGGTTTATGTAATCTGTCTTCGTATTTGTGACTAGGTGTTGTTGTTTACAAGAAACTCAGGGCTGTTGTTACCGAATATTTTTTGTGACAAAATGAATAACGATGATGTTTGCGCTAACAGGGTCATTAATGAAGCTGCAGTTTCCTGTTATACACAGAGCCTTTTATTGTTTAATGTGATAAAAAATTAAAATAAACAATGAAAGTGCTGATGTAATCGTTTTTTCAAAACAGCATATGGCCTTGTGAATATCTAATTCTAAATGAATGATAGCACACAAATCTGTCCCACTCGAGTTAGGAAAGTATTTTTTTAAGAAAAGTTAATAGAAAATATGCGGGTTAAAACATGCGTTCATTGTTTATTTGTATGCAGTTTTGCACTTATGCAGTTTTACATTGGTCGGAATTCTTGTCAGTTTATAATTTCATTCTATCCCCAAACAACCGGTAACTTTAATATCCAAGAAAGCAAAATAAATATATGCACGTTTTCCAACAATTCAAATTGAAATCATATTGAAAAATTAATTAAGACTACAGATACAATGGACGTTTAATGTTATTTATCTGTTATTCAGCTAAGGGTTTTCAAATTCCTTTCCACAGAGTTCATAACAAGGCATGAGTGGTGATTTTTTTTCTCAGAATATGTAATTGAAATTTCAACGGTGAGAACACGGGCAAATTTAAGACATCTCATCATCCTACATTACACTGACGATTTTGACAGATCAAATTCATATATAAGTCGGGGTTACATATATGGGGCAATACGAGAAGTTTAATGAACACCAGAGAAAACATACACAAAGTCTTGCCGCTAGATGCCTCTCCGTGGAGGAAACATAGGATCCCTACACCTTTTCCAATATCTATAATTATGTATTAAACCAGAGATAGACTTGTCTTCAGCTGTCAGACGGCGTCGAAAAAACGGCCCTATTTACATATCGGCCCAATAAAGCGGTCTCTCTTTCTCTCACTTACACCTTAGCGTCTTGATAACGGAGCCGAGAGAGAGGCGTGTGGCGCGATCGAAGTGTAGATTTAGAAGCACTGAGAATTGGGTTTCACAAGGTTACGACTTTCTGGCGTTTTTTCTCACGACACGAGACCCATATATCGTCTGCTGGGGTCTCTTCTAATCAGTAATTACACAATGCTGATCAAACTATTTTTGATTTCAAACGCAGGCATTCTTATTCCAGGACCAGTGGTTTGTTTTTTAAGGGGCCACAACGCCGCATGTTTGTCCTGCACTATTTATTATCCAGAGTCTGGTCCTTGTGGGATAACTAGGGGCCGTTCACAAACCACAATGGCGTCGCGGATCAAGGTAGCGTGATCAAAGACCACAATTTCTTTTCATCTAAATGCTTCCATTAAAAACTCGACACGCTGTAGGTTCTACGTTAAATCACTTACTAGAAGGTGTGAGTCTTTTATGCCCTGTGTCTTTTTTGCTTCTGTGCAAGAAAAATCTTTCAAGTCACCTGCAAAGACTTAAAAAGAAAGAAAAAACAAAACAAAAAAAATGAATATTTTATGATATTTGCTATTGAGAAAAGAAGGGTTCATCAGACTTGAAATTGGAATGTCACTACAACAAAACAAAATGTCCGAAATACATTAAAAGAAAGTGAGCGGAGGACAGATAAAATAGTTTCTGTCTTTATTTTATCAGGCGCGACTGGAAAAGTATGTGTATCTTCAAATGTAACCCTGCTACTGGATAGGATGCACGTAGAAATGTTTAGATCTAAGTCAAAGTCCTCGCCTTTAATTATAAAACATTTTGAAAAGAGCGTCGAAATGCGAAATAAATAAATAAAATAAATATGGAAAAATAAATCATGTTGACGGAATTTAGAACATACATGTATTGCTTATATAATTATCTTAGGGATATAAAATTAATTATTAGAAGCTGAATAAAAAGGGATATTTAGGCGGTGTCTATAACACAGCTTGGAGCTGAGCACACGTAAAACACCCAAGTAAACTATAGAAAGCATAGATAGCATAAAATAATTGCGATATAGAATAGGATTTTTTAAATTTGAATTGAGTTCAGGATGTCATCGATGACCATAAAAATTGTCTAATAAAAGACCCTTGGAAAAAGGGTCAATGAAAATAAGAATAATCAATAAAAGAGAGTAGCCAAGATATTCAAAGAAAGTAATTATTGTCATGTCACATAAATCTCAGTTGTCGAAAAAAACAAGACAAAGAAAAATATGACAAGCCTTTCGACGATGTAAAGAAGCCATCCTGTAATTTAACAGCTATCTTCTGTTCCACAAATCAACCAAACTTGTCGGAAAAGTTACTAATGGGACTTTAGCGACCCCAGTGGAAGCCAGCTGAATTTTACATCGAAGCGCGTGTCAAGGTTTCTACCGGTCCCTCATTAATATCGTGTTTTCACTCTATTGAAATTCTCAACATCAAAGGGGTTTCTTTCTTTGAAATTAGGAGCCCTAATGAGTTATTAAATTGCAAATTCTTTTGATACCAGTTTGTGTATTGACGAGAAGTAACACGCGCCTCGCGAGAAATGCGTTTACTCGCGCGACCCGTGCGTGAAGGTTGATCATCAATTCGATGGCCAGAGTACACCAAGTGCGAAGTGCTGGACAATTAACGCACCCATACTTAAAAGATAACGCAAAATTAATTGCCTGAATATCACCTCCAATATATTGCTTTGCAAACTGACGCAAGTGACATTTGCACCGTCAAATGCACAACGCAAATCGAGAAGTCATTTGCTTTTTCCTCTCAATCTTTGAGCCAATGGAAGATTTCAGATTACCTGCCAAAAGTGCGCTAAGTCTTCAAATGCACTGGATGTGAAGAAGGGGGTCAGTCAAATATTACCGATCTAAAACAGCGTATTTATAAACGCAAAGAGCAGACGATTAATCAGCTGTGTCAGTAGCTAATAACTGACGATTTTCTTTCACTAAAACGTGTAAATCTTGTCCAGAAAGGTCTACTTCTTGAGTAATCGGCATTTTTTTATAAAAGGAAACAAAAAGTAGGTGCACTCAGTAACATTTTAATTGCTTGGTGCATGTATTTTAAAATAGATTTACGGTCACTCGTGTTTTAAGCAATTATTTGCTGGACACGCTTTGTTTTAAACAAACAGCTTTGTTTTCAACAAAAAGATAAAAAAAAGACTAGAAAAAATTTTACACGTTTTATACGTTTTGTTATTGTACACTTGCTTCATTCCTATAGTTTGTTACTTGAGGAATGGGCTTTTAATTTCATCAAGCAAATTGAATACTTTATTGTTATTACTCTTTAGAAATTCTGTTAAAACACGTAGCTTTTCTTCCATCCATCAAATTCGTGGCATTTTGAAATCGAGAAAGTATCAAACATCTTATCTCGGAGTGTTCTAAATCTTTCTCTATTATCCTCAATCGCCGCTTCCGGCCAGAGAAGGTATTGTACTCGCTCGTGTAGCGCCAAAAATATTTGTAATGATTTAAAATATATTATGTTACTTCGCATTCATCCAAGAACAGGGTAAAAATGACAGACATTCGGCTTCCCATTTCAAACTGTAATTATGAACAGAAGGAAAAGGTCGGGGCGGAAAGTTAAGACAGCAGACGGTGTATTTTTTTCTATAAATTGGTAATCTTGTTTTTCGACACTGCAATTTAAATGAATTGAAAGAACAATTAACTAAGCTATCATCTAGGAGAAAATCAGCATTTAACCTCTGTAGACTTTGGCATTTGAGATAATGTTTTTGTGTGAAAGCATGCTTTTTTCTCCCGAGAGATTCCTTTCAAGGTAGTTTCGTTGAGTAATTGAAGATGAAACCAAATAACTTATTTTAGAAAACAATTTGTAGAAAATTAGGGAAAAGTCACAGATGTCGATGATTCTGAAAATTCTGTAAAACACGAGTGACCTTATAATGTAATAACAACATGATAAACTTTAATACTTTGGATTGAATTTAATTTTCCATTCTAACTGCTTCCCATTTAGTATATAGGCATTCTTGTGCGTATATCAAAAGTCGCAGTGTCAGAGAGTAGCAAATGGTCCGTTAACACTTTCATTAACAACGTCACTGTGAATGTCTAACCAAATTCGAACTCTAGCCCCGTTTATAATCACACTCCGTTAATGGACTATCCCAGCTACCTTAATGATAAACGGGGACTTCATTTCTAATCGCCATTTACAACAGGAGAGGCGCGTTTAGCGGCGTGGCCCGGGGGCCGTTGTTCTTCCTCACTTCATCTGCCGCTTTGACAGTCCCAAAGCGAAATCTGAACGGCCCGAGACCGACTTCATTAGCGAATGTGAGGCGCTCTCCCATTGGTTCGGCCGGCGTGACGTCACCAGTGGGTGAGTGAAATATAAGCCCTGAGAGGGATATTTATAAAAGTCAGCGGCGGATTTCCAATGAGCAGTCACAACTAGTGCTGAGCGTTTGTTGGTTAGTGTGGATTACACGTCTGCAGGAATCATGGAAGATCGGTCGCAAAGTATAAATACCGGAGATATTTACGATACAATTAAGGTAAAACTTAAATCTGAGCCCATAGATTTAGTGCGCTTGGACGACGTTAGGGAGAATTGTGCTGTTTGCGGTTGCGGGGAGGGGGAAGAAATCCGCGCGTGTTGCTGTACCTCTAATACCCAAACTCTAGCTCAGAGCAGAGCCGCGGCAAGTATACCAAGTGTACATCACCATGCACAAAGTATGGCCCAAGATTTAAGTCTACGGCGGCGACGGGACACGGAGGATGACGACCGGGTTCACGATTCCCTCACAACCTCCCAACTCAGCTCCTCTAGTAGTAAACTTAGCGAACAGCGCACACTTAGACTGTCCCCAGACTCGGGGTCCCCGGGCTGCCAGTCTCCGGGGACACAGTCTGACCATTCCTCGGAGGAGTCGCGTGGTTCCAGTGCCGCACTCCAAGACATTGGTGTTAATGAGGACGGGGGTGAGGAGGAAGAGGAGGAAGAGGGGGATCAGCAGCGAGATGAGGAGGATATATCCGACCCCCCTCAGAGATTTACCGGCTTTTTCATCAGAGACATTATGCAGCCTGAGTTTGGCCGCAAAAAGGACTTGAAACCACAATTTCTCGTGGGCCATCATCATTTATATAATAATAATAATAATAATATTAGTAACCAGGTACAAATCTCTCAATCTCAGGATGTGCACAATACCACGACCACACATCACGGTCTACAGACACAACAAAAACAAGCGCAGTTGCAGTCTCTGAAACAGCAAAGGGCGTCGGTGTCGGACGAGTCCCCGGGCGAGGACAGTCCTGACCAGAAGGCGGACGGGTCGCCCCCTCTATTGTGGCCAGCGTGGGTCTATTGCACCAGGTACTCCGACCGCCCCTCCGCAGGTAAGCGTAAGTACCACCCAGTTTTTGTATCTTTGGTTTATTATTATTATTATTATTATTATTATTATTATTATTATTATTAGTTTTTCGTCTTTCAATGTCTTTGTTTCGTGTCTAATTTTGATTTTAAGCGACTCTTCATTTTGAAATGAGATTTTCTCTCTCTCCCCCCCCCCTCCATCTCTCTCTCTCTCTCTCTCTCTCTCTCTCTCTCTCTTCTTCTTCTTCTTAACAGAATGTAGAATAGCTAATATAACCCAAACATTTCCGACAGGCATTATAATACTGCCTAGCTCTATAGAAGATGCAACTGAAGTCAGCTCCTCTTATCTTTGGCGGGTTTATAGTGAACCATAAATCTAATGACTAAATATCACGTAATTCCATCACACACTCAATAAGCTTCAATGAAATTAATAATTAGATCATGATTATAATTACGTACTATTTATCGAACATTCAGGGCAATAAAATACAATTTTAGCACGCATTTCAGCACACTTGTCTACTCTGATGAAATATTATGTAAAATATGTTTTTCAAAATGTAGGCATGATGGCGTCAGATATTTTTCTAATCAAACATATAAATTGCCTGGAAAAAAAAACAAAAATCATGTCCATCGTCAGTTTAAGTGTTTGGGATATTTATTAAACAACACTTATATGTATGTAAGAAGATTTATGTAGTCTTATGTATCTAATGCTGTATTAATCTAGGTCAACAGTTTATATAACTGTCTGCTTTGAGGTTTAGGGACAACAGGGAAGTCATTACGAGACGATCAGTGGTGTACACTGTTTTGAATGATGTCTTTATATCCCGAGATGACCACCTTCCGCGCCCCCTCCTCCTCCCCCCCCCCACCTCTACCCCTGTTAACGTACACTCCTTTTCGACCCTCAAGGAGGCAATGCCCTTAAAAAAGAGCTTTGTCATAACTGCGCCTATCTCGCCCGGCTTTTATTTTCGTTTCTGACTGATTTATGGGTAGTAACCGCTGCCCACAATTACGAGTCTAAAATAACGTTTTAATTTCCACATCTCGCCCACAAACTAAATACGTCTTTCGCGAAGGCCTTCAACTCCCCGAGATTGGCACCGGGGCATGGCCGCGTACCATTTCATGTCGCTGACAGAGTTATTAGCTTCGCAGGCTGGATTCTAAGGTTCGTTTACTATCGGAGCTGTGGTCTGGATATATTAAATGTTCGAGGGAATGACTGGTGTATATATATATATATATAACCGTCTTGTGCTAGTTAATTTTTTTGATCGTGTTCATTAAAGGTAATGCAGGGTACTTGTTGCATTGTTTGCTGTGTCAAAGACCGCCTTCCCCCCCCCCTCCCTCTCTATCGTAGGGGTCTGGTCTTGAAGAAATCAAGACAAACATGGTTCTTTTTTAAGAGTTATCTAAGAGCAAGCACACAGCTCCCCATTGTATGGCATACACTTGTTTCAAGTTACGTTCTCGGCGGATGATTAACCGCTTTATATTGTGTATAAAATGGGGATTGTAATACACGTGTTAACCTATCTCATATAGAATAGATTCCCTATTTTCACGCAGACATGTAAAGTAAAAGAGTTCCATAGCCACACAAAAGTCAATATAAGCATCAGAGTGTCGGTGTGCACCTGTAAAGTTTATCGGTGTTCTACATAGGCGCACATCATCTTGAGTTCTAGATCACTAAAGTGCAAACCCGTTTGCGAAGACGCACAAGGTCTCTCTATAAACGCACTTAGGCAAACGAGACGTGGCTTTTGAAGTGATGTCCATTTCACCAATTTGTCAATTTCAGTGAGATGTTCATTTCTCTCCGTGTTGATGTGAAAGCGTCACACGAGCGTATAAAGTCGCACGACATAACACAATGTACTCAGACGAGTTAGCAAAGTCTACTATCTGTGCTTTCACTGGTAAAATCAATTATTTTTTTAACCGATTAATATTGAGACAAACATTGAAAATAACTGGATATATAACTTTTTTCTTCAGGCATTTAATCCTATAAAAATTGTTTCTGTGTCAGTAGTTAAACAGAATGGCAAAATTCAAATTTTTATTCTGTGTAACTACTGACACAGAATGGCAAAATTCAAATTTTGAACATAATACACGGCATGATATACTTATCCAGACAACTATTTCAGTTTACCTGTTCTATGGAAACCAATCCCTCGTCTTTTTAAAGCAATATATCTGTGAAAATATGCTATTGTCTTTTGTGGAATATTACATAAAAAATGAGACGGCGACTAAAATATTGGTCTGCAGTTAAATTCACACAGACTTTCATATACCCGATAAAGCCGCTTCTGTCACAGACTGTTACAATAATAGACAGATAGGGGCTTGGAAACCATAATTAATTTTCACTGCCTTTGATATGTTCCTTTTTTAACTGCACGTTATTATTTTTCTCTTCACAATGTCACTTGTTAAAGGAGCAATTTAGTGACATGTTTTCTGTAAGCACGACACATTCTAAGTCGGTCTTTTCTGTACTCGGACACCCGTAGCAGTGACGTTAACTGAAATTTTATGTACGGGGCTCTTTTTAAGTTATTTTACTAGTTATAACAAAAAAGAAAAAAACAACAAAAAACGACATCACCCAACCCAAGATGGTATATTGAAAGGATTAGGAGTTCAGATAAACCTAAAATTATTTCTATAAATTAATAAACGAAATAAAGACGAAAAAAGCTCTTTCAAAACATGTTAATGTGTTTGAGTGTTGATATTTTTTCATTTAAATCTTTGGGCTTAAGAAGGCATTTGTTTATGAACAGTGCGACTTGAACCGTTTTGTGTAATAAATAATATTTCAGCAATACCAATATTATTCGCAATCAAGTTTTTTTACATACATACTTTCAATCTCTTGATTTAAAAAAAAAATTAAGACAAACGCGTGTTTAAAATTAACACGCATCATTGCCTAGAGAAAATATGAATGGAGATAAATAGCAATGTAATTGTGAATCCAAGTCGTTAATGAGAACAGCAATTAAGCTAGTGCATTTTATTGTGAATATGCAGAGGATGCCGTCATATCTTTTCTGAAAATTCATTTTATTTTTTTATTATTTTTTTATGAAACAGTAAAAAATACCACAGATTGTTACTGTTATCATCACATGTTATAAACTACTTATGATATTATAGAAAAATGAGGTGATTGTTACTGTTATCATCATATGTTATAAACTACTTATGACTCACGTAGTGACTCAAAATGTTTCTGTGTGCTGGCTAGCTGCTTGGATAATTACTCAAGGTAATCGCATGTTTATTAATATTAAAACCATTGATGGCTTATTAGAAGTTATTCTTTAAAATACGCAAAAAAAAAGTGAACTCATGATGACATGAAAGTGACTTAGAGCTATGTAAATGACTACATGTACGTAAATATGTGTTTCGTTTCACTTAATGCTATTGATTATTCAATTGATGTATAATTTATAGCCCGGTTTTTGGCAAACATCAGTTTTGTTAACTAAGGTTTGTAAACCGAGATAAACACATTGACAGACATAATGGCGAATTTAAATACTGATAAAGTATTAAATATTGATATCAATTAGAGAAGAAAATCGGCCCTGATGATTTTAATTTACCTTGGAAAAATGCATGTCTTTGCCATTAAAGATCTAAATGACACTAATAAAGCCAGCTGAAATGTCGATAGGGAAATCGTCTTCGAATTAATTATCTAATGGTAATGATTATTCTTTCCAAAGTCCAAAGTAAAATGAATATATATGATTTACAAGCAAATAAAAAGGTTTGTCAAGTCGGGATTTGCCTAAAAAGTATTGTTCTTGTTTTTCGGCCGAATTTTTCCAACCTTCTACTACATTATTTTGATGCTATAAATAAGCAAAGCAGTGTTGAATGCACGTATATATGAGGCTTTCTACATGTATATACGGGTGCCTGCATCAAGAACGCGAAATTAAAAATAACAAATTGAAAAAGGTTGGAGCAATGAGAACTTTCATATTTTGAGATAAATGTTAATATGACTGTAGTCAAATATTAATTTTTTTTGTTGTGGTGTAGGAAGCCAAACTTTAAGGTAAACATTGCTTTATTATTATTATTATTATTATTATTATTATTATTATTATTATTATTATTATTTTGCAATTAAGCGAGATTCATCAGAGAAACTACATGAAACATTTTTTCACTTTTTTACTTCACAAAGAACCCACGTGGAAATCTGATATCGAAGGAGTCCCGCAAAACAATTGTTAGGGCAATAAAGAGTATTATTTGCCTTGAAACGCAGGTTTGTGGTCGGATTCTGTGCCGCTTAACTGTTCTGTATTTCTCAAAAGAGAACGATATTTCTAGGCCTGTTGTATGATACTTGGGATTGTCGGACAAATGATATTCTTTATAGCGCAAACTAAATAATAAGATTACAGTGCTTCTTTCCACTTTGTGTAAACAGCGAACCAAAATGTATATGAATCATTAAAATCTAAAGAAAGGGTATCATTGATATGTATTGCTCCCAATTTCAAGCTGACTGTTCGATATATTTGTAATTATTTAATTTGTACTAATTTCATGTCAGTTTTTCAGTAACGCTTGATTCATAATCAAACGTGTTAGTGCTCTATAATGATTCGTTCGTACGGTGCGTTATAGTAAGTTTAATTATTTTTAGAACTGTTAAATACGATATCCCCGACTATGCCTTTCCTTTATTGAACTTCTAGCATGCTTTGAGCTAAAATTTCTGTTCACACGTGTTTTTATTTTTCAAACTCAAAGTTCAATTTTCAGTCAAGTGACATCATATTCGAGCAACCAAGCACAGAAATAAACAACATTTGCGTTTTCCTTAAATAGAATGAAGTTGGACAATATAATAGACAAACAATCAATTGACTGCGCGCATCAATTTTAATGTCTTGTATGGTGTTCTTATTTTGCAGAAAGAAGAACGGATATTAGCACACGCACCACATATAACATT